CTTGGGATCCTGTTTTTAACAAAATCTAGCTCATGGGTTTTTTTCTCTCCACAACCACCAAGTCATTGGTACAAATGTTCGCTGGGTGAGGCTGAAAATAGATGAGGAACTGTTGGCTTTGGGGTCAAAACGGGGAAAACAGCAAATAAATGAAAAAGAGGTAAAGGACCACAGGGAAGGCGCCTTGCTAAAAATAAGCTTCAATTCTGAAGCCGAGCATAAATATTTTTCTTTCTTTGCCATAACATTCATTGCCTGGTAGGCAGGGGAGCAAGCAGCCTCTGCTGTGACGGCGAGTTTTAAAGTGAAACGTAATTTTTGATCTCTGCAATAAAATAATCCTAAACGTGATGCTGTGCGCTCGCGCTTCTGCTGGGAGGGGAGGCATTGCGGGGCTCGCAGCTCATTTTCCTTCCGAAAAGAGACTGCAACCCAGGCTGCTCTTCTGCAGCAGAGCCTCTAGAAACGGTTTGGGGCTAGAAAGCAGAATTTTAAGTACAGTATTAGTAATCCCCGCACTTCCTCTCCCCGGGTGCTGCTGCTGGCGTAAACCCAGCATGATTTTTACGGCCGAGCAGCGTGTCTTTTCGCCCCCTGACCTGCTGTCCTTTCTAGGGAGAGCAGAGGGGGACTTCAGGAGGATGGATGAAACTTTCTGGACAGCCTGTTCCCGGCCCGGCTGCAGCTGGTGGGACCCCCTCCACCCCTCCGTGTGACGCGATTTTGCTTGATCACTCCAATTCCCAGCCTGAGCGGCTTTGCAAAGGGTTAAAGCGAGAGCTGGCTGGGGCAGCTGGCGTTGGGGAGGGTCCTGGCTGGGCCCCTGCCCGGGATGTGCTGAGCTCAGCAGTTTTGCAGGGCTGCAGGGAGAGGGGGCTGGGGAGGAGGAGGAGGAAGGGAAGAGATGTATGGGGGGCTCAGTGAATGTCTCAGTGTAAACTGTGCCCTGCATATGCTGGGGGTGGGGGGTGGGCAAATTCCTCCCCATCGGGTTGGCTGCTACTGCCCATCTGCCCATGATGAGTCCCTGTCTTCACGGTGGTTCTCAGCGGCCCCAGAAGCCACTTTTAGGTAGATTGACACATTATTTCAGCACACGGTCA